TTTTATCAACACGTTTTATTAACGCCGATAAAGAGAAGTGTGAGCGAAAAAATAATTGGAAAGTTACGTGAAATCTAAGCCGAGGTCAAAACGACTCAAGTGGACAAGCAAAATGAATTCAATAACTATCAGAGTTATGTGCTGATTGGTTTCAGCCATGTTGGTGAATTCTCAGAGCTTCCCATACTTTCCTGCAGGCGTTTGGAAACATCTCAGTCTGGATATATTTACCGCAGAGAGAAAAAAAAAATCTGCCTTCTCGAAACGTATTGACGTTTAAAAATCTTCCCCTGCAGACTCAAAGCAGGTCAGTATCAGTCACCTGAAGAAATACAATCTAGGCATCATTTGCAACAGACTCAAAGCCACCCTGCCAAAGGGACAATTATTCACACTTAGAATAAAGGGGTTTATTCGAGCTGTCCAACTAATATAGCCACAAGACGTCAACACAGGAGGGATGTAAAAAAATATGTTGTTAAAACATAATCAAATGTTTTCGCTTGAAGCTGGAACTTATGCAGGGATCCGTTTCTCTATGTGTTACACTTCAAATGCTGCCAGTATTTGGTGCCCTGAGCAACAACTCGAACTGATTATTTCATCATGTTTTGATGATAGAGATTGAAGTGTAGAGAAACGTGATTTTAATATCTAACACATCCTGATCAAAATAGGACGCGTTGGTTGTGGTACAACTGTTTTAGTTAAATCTGATCATTGCAGGCGCTCGCCCACAGAATACAGTCAATTCACTTTACAGTATATCGTGTGAAACGTCTCTACGACGTGATAAGGCGCAATATCAAATGCAATGATTATTATTATTAAGTGAAGGCATGTTCTGTGGGGGAGGAATCTGTGTATTTTCTGTTCGAGCTCCACTAAATACTTGCTTTGGATGGCATGGTTTTTTTTTTAGTCATCTGTCAGTTTCAAAGATTGGAACTGGGATTAATCTGCACTGGATCTCAGTTTACTTAAGGGCTTTGCTAACAGTGGATGCAATACATGTCACAGATAACACTCTTCCTCGATCATGTTCTTCAAAAGTTAACACATAACAGTCTGGCATGTTTGATAACTTTAGGCCTTGTTCCTAAGATATTTGCACTCTACTGCACTCTATAACTAGGAAGCCCTTAACAGTAATTGTTAAATGCGGTGGCTGTTGGTCTGTAACTTGGTCATAAATTGCAGTTATGTATTTATCTGCTTTGTTCCACTGCGGTTGTAAGGAGAAGCTTTCCCTCTGGGGCCTGTAATAGAATAATAATGTGCAGAATATCAATACAGTAAAAGAAAACTAAATCAGAGTTAGGCATAGAAGCCGAAATATTAAACACTGAAGAAATTGTTTCTGTCGCACATTGATCAAAACGCACCAAAAACAAAATGATAAATTCCTTTATATATTTTTTTTAAAAATAAGTGAAAACACTTATTATCGGTACTGGAGAGAAGTCGGAGTTTGTTTTAGAGCCAGTGATTAACGTTGATTTCCATCAAAACAAGTGTTTAAAGAAATCAAATGTGTTTTGCTCTCTGGAGCTTTAATAATCACCTCAAAGAGTTTATTGAAGGTTATGGTTTGTGATCAATGGCACTGTCTGTGTTCAGTCCTGTCTGCAATAGTCAGTCTCTGCAAACTGGGATCTGGGAGAAGAAAGATAACTTTCAGTGAGTGAAACTTTACCCCAGGCACAATGATTTAGAGGAAAGGAAAGCCCACGGAACTGGCAAACCCGTTCTGTTTAGTCAAACGTTAATAATCTAACATGGATCCGAATGGACCATATATATCTCTATACATACTCAGATCCCTCTCCTCTGGCACAATGCAACGTAAGCACAAGCGCTCGGGAATAAAATAAGTAAATAATTAATAACGATGGTGGTCGTGGGCTCAGTGCATATTTGTGGTGTGCGGTTGGGTGGCTCAGACCCCCAAAGTGAGCACATTGCACACGGCGTTAACTCTCCTCACCACCAATACATTTCTGATGTTGTGAATGATTGGGTTTCTGGTGAGATGGCTTCGCCCTGTGCGCGTTAAACCTGTAACTCGGATTTAATCTGTTTGACCAGAAATGTTAGAATGTATTCAAAACAAGTACTTGGGTTTAAAATAGTTAAATCGCTATATGACACGAGTCATACCCGGTTGACGTGTCATGTCCAGTGTTAGGTAATTCCTTATACTGTGTTTATCACACAACTAACCTAATGTAACCCAATAATGAGGTACAACATAAAGGTGTCTGACTGCCACACAGCTTGCTGCACTGCACAGTCAGCCTGGGGTGCTCATTAAGTGAAGTCTTGTTATTAGGAGAACAAGATGATGTGAGATGCTCGCAAGCAGCAATTTTTACTGTCTAAATATCAGAAGATGGTGCATTGTTTTTGGAAAAAAAAATGAATACACGTGTTGATGATGCCGGATTGCTCTATTCTGTCCAATGCAAAGCTGCCGAGACCCGGACATGGTCGGTATAAAGCTGAGACCGTGGGTGAATTTGCAACACTTTAGGTGGGGATTCCGGGACGGGGTTGAACTGCGATCGGTTGGAAAGGCGCATATGAATAGATACGTTAGGGAGAGAGGTTCCGGGGTGCCAGGGAATCCGGGAAGCTGCCTCCTGCACAAATCCACCTTAAATCGGGGCTTTTTTCCCCCCCCCTCCCCCTGTCTTGGCTTTTTCTGCGACGTTTCCACAATAGCGGAGAGAGCATCCAACCAGCGGCAAACCCGCAGCTCTGCCCGCAAGTGGGAACTGCGCAGCGATCGGGTGCTCCCGGTCCTCAGTGTCCGCGTCGGTCTGTCAGGGTGAGGGTCTGGGGTCGAGCCTCTCCGGGGGAGAAAGGGGAGAGCCAGAGAGGGCGAGAGAGGTTTTAATTTGAGTTAGATGATTGATTTTTTTTTGGGGGGGGGGGGTGGAGGGCAGATTTGCACAGGATTACAGCGATCGGCAGTAAAGAGAGAGAGGGAGAGGAGGGTGGGGGGTGAGGGAGAGAGAGAGAGAGAGACAGAGGGAGAGAAAGCTCTCCCTCCCTCTCCCTCTCTCTCCCTCTCTCACAGTTTATTTCAGTCACACACAAGGATGGCTTTGTTCGATAAGAGGAACCGAGCGACTCTCACAAGCTGTGGTGTAACAGCGTGGCGATCTGCAGATACCTGCACTTTAATCCAGCCTTTCACCTTCGAGAAAAAAACACCTGACACACACACACACTACACACACACACACACACACCACACACATACACTCACACCACACACATACACACACACCACACACATACGCACACACACACCACACACATACACGCACACGTCCATCGCCCTTTCAATCTGCACACTTTCCTCCAGAATGAACCCCATCGTCAATACATATACATAAAAAAATTAACCCATAATGTTTTTTTGGGGGGTTCTGGATCACACTGAAACAAGACCGCTTTTTGCTCCCCGAGGCTACAGCAACCAGTCAGTGGTGGTCGAGTGTAACGAGTGTGTGTGTGTGTGTGTGTTTGATCGCCTTGGTTTCCACACACAAAAAAAATCGAAAGCCCTCAGTATTGTCTGAGCTGAAACCAAGGTTTGCATTTGATTTTCTAGAAGTTACAAGCGATCTGAACGGCTGCTGAGAAAGGACACGTCGGCCTACCCAGGCTTTGGGTTTCAGCAAAAAAAAAAGAAACAAAAAAGTGAAACAAAACAGGAACCGAAACCTGTACACACACACACACACACAGTGTCTCCAAAACACTGACCTCGATCGAAAGACTTAACGCAGTTCCTACACACGTTTCCTTTAATCTTGTAATGTTGGATTCAGGTGATGTTATTGTACACTGATCCCCCTCACCCCCACCCCTCTCACCCCCACCCCTCACCCCTCTCACCCCCACCTCTCACCCCTCTCACCCCCTCAAACCCCCCACCCGTTCAAAAAGGATTACAAATTCGATGTTGTGAAAGGTCGAATGCGAACAACTCTTGAAAACGACCCACATCGGCCCCCGAAATAATATTATGACTCGACTTTATTGGTTAACCATATAACCCAATGTGCCTCTCGCGTGTTTAGACACTACGGTATAGTTTATCCACAGGCAACAGATTGGAATTTCACATGGAGGCGAGTAAGAACTGCGCCAAAAGCCACTGAACTCAGGTAGCACATCTTGTTTTCTCAACCGCCAGCTGTAATAACGTTTTTTTTCCAAGAGAAAAAATATATTATGAATGAGGCTTTGTATACGTCCTACGGTTTGCCCTTAGCAGGAGTTAATTGTAACGTTGCTGGGGGGGGGGGGGGGAAGAGGGTATAAACCGCAACCGAGGCAGGTGGTCAAGTGGCGACCGGATTTTGCGAATTGCCTCATAAAAATATAGATTGAAATATGTGTTAAGTGGCCCCTAAACATCACCCGAAAATGGAAAATCTGTATTTCGAGCAGCTACAAGCTACAAAAAAGAATACTTATTCAAAATCCCTGACATTAACAGCCCAATGTTAAGCTGATGGTGGTTTCCAGCCAACAACCCAATAACTATTTTGCCACTTGCTCCAGGAGTGCGGATTGTAGGTCTGGCTGCATTATTAAAGGATCTCAATGTTAGAAATCAACCATAATTTTCACAATAAGCAGACCTGCAGCATTTTTCCAAATTAATAATAACAACAACAAACCTTGCATTTGATATAGTGCCTTCTCATGTCAGTGAGACGTCTCAAAGTGCTTCACAGAATCTACTGGAAAGTGAATTGATTGTGTATCCAATTGGGTACATTTCTACTGATCTGAACTGCATCATTTTTTGAAGTAATTGATTTTGTTGACTGAATTACATGAATACTGAGTGTGTACCTGCTCTCTTCCAGATGACTAGTGATGACTAATGGAAGCAGCAAAGAATAGTTGATTGGATTTCCTAGTAAATTTAATTACTTTGCTGAACTACAATGATTCCATCAAACCATTTATTTTTAAACCAAAGTTTTCTTGTTTATTGCTGAATAATAATATGTGTATCAGAGTGTCACATCTAGGAATTTAAAATTGCACATTATACATAAAATACACGGCCTGTGCTCAGTAAAAAATGACTTCATAAACCTTTAATGAAAAATTTCCTGCAAAGTAATATACGATTAAATTGGGGGCAATTAGGCACTATGGTATTAATTGCTATGGAATGCAAATTATACAGTACAAGTGTTTAAAATAAGGGCATTTATTTGGATGATAACTTGATTTCAGATGGACTTGCTTTAAACATTAAAATAATCTGAATAGTAAGTAATAGTAGTAGTTACTGCAAACTATCGGGGAAATGTTAGTAAAAATGTTAGATACTTCACAAGGTTTTAACAGAGTAGTAACCAAATATATGTGTTTTAGCTTGAAAGGTACTAGTGAGTGGCTCAAGGAATTGGTTGGTAGTTTTCCACTCTTTCCAATAATGCATCTGAATATCCAGGAGAGTAGTACCTGAAAAATGAACACATATCCAGTGGTTAAACACAGGGGTAACAGCATGTGAACTTTGCTTCACAGTCAAGACATGAGAGGTTTTGTTCGGAGGAAATTGTCAAAATATTCAAAACAAAAGGCATTGGTATGAAATGTTCTCAACCATCTTCAGGTAATCTGTGGAACACTTTCACAATATTATTCCATAGCAAAAACTTGGTAAAATATCCTATTAACTAAAAGACTGTCACCACAGATCATGTACATTGGTGAACCCGGAATGCTAAAGGTTATGCTGTTCCATGTATATGATGCTAGGATGTAGGGAGTCCTTAAAGATGACATTTGCTATTAGAGGTATTGTCGTTTTTTTGAATGATAATTTAGCAGAAATTATACAGTTACTATAGCAAATCAATTTTTAAAACAATCATTTACCTAGCTCAGTAGCTTGATTAATGGGGGAGAATACATTGCAAGGTAAAATTAAAAAATTTCCTCAGTGGCCAATAGGGGACTTAGAGTCTCATCTTATGGTAATACCCACCACAAGCACATTGTACACATTAGACATAAAATACGGGGCCTGTGCTCAGCAAAAAATGACTTCATAAATCTTTAATGAAAACTACCTACAAAGTAATATACGATCAAATTGGGCACTGTAGTATTAATTGCTATAATCAGGTGGGAAATGAAAAGGGGATTCTATTTTCACGACATGCTATGTACTAGTAGGTTTGTAGCACTATACCACACAATAAACAAAAGCATGTACCTTCAACTGAATATTTGAATAACTTATGACTTATGTTCTAATTCAGGTAGAATTTCCACACAAGCTGCTGGTACTTAAAAGTGTTCATTCACTGAGTAAGATCACTTCAGGTTAACAAAAATGTAATTAATAGGTGAATGCCACTTTAAATAAATTTTTCGTTAGGTGTAAAGTCCAGTTTAAGGTAGCGGGTTGGAGGATTGGGACTGCTCTTTTACCTGGCTTATTCCTCCAGAACAATTATGCACATTGCTTCCTTGAAAAATAAGGCCCTTTTTATTTGCCACTCCATCTTTTTCAAAGCTTTTCTTGTCTTATTTCTGAGTTCAGGAGATTGAGGGGTGATCTGAATGCGGTATGTACAATTATGAAGGGATTTGACCAACTAAATAGTAAGCTACTCTTTCCACTGGCGAGAGAATTGAGGACAGGAGGCCATAGTTTTAAACTTGAGGCTAACCCATTTAGAAATGAAATAAGGAAGCATTTTTCACACAGCAGGTGGTGGGAGTGTGGAATTCACTCCCCCAAAGGGCAGTGGTGGCAGAATCAATTAAAAGGCAAATTGATATATGCTTGATAGACATGGGGTATCAAGCGATATGGAGAGAGCGCAGAGAGGGAGAATTGAGTTGTAGATCGGACACAATCTTGGAAAGTGGTAGGACAGGATTGATAAACCAAATGGCCTATTCCAGTTGTTCTAGGTTCCACCTTTTCCATACAGTATTGGAAAAAGAGAATATGCAAAGGCAATGTGCTCCTAGACCTCAGCTGATGCCATTCAGAAAGTGGCCTGGAGAGTGATGCTCGCTCCAAATTTGTGTTGAAAAAATACCTGTTCTCACTTGTTGCCTCTAGCGTAAAATAAATGAGTGGGAACTTAGGATGGAGATGGAGATAGAAGGCACAACAAATGAAGGTCAAATATATTGTGTTACTGCAATACTGACATGCTCTTTTTAAACATGCCCAGACATTTTTTCTGGGATTTCTGTTTAATTTCATGTAGAACTGCAATCTCAAAATTCCCAAATGATAGCTCCAGAGCAGGAGAACTGCAAATGAAAGTTGCATCGTAACTTCAGATGCTTTTCTATAACCTAGTCCTAACCTAAGGAGAACTCCCATTATTTCCTTTTCTTTGGCTTCTCTTTTCAGTTCTGAGCCTTGTCGACAGACTATGGATGAAGCTGACAAGTCCATCCTCTAGTTCAATGTATTTTAACAGTTTATGTTTCCGATATTTAGGCCCCATCTGTAACTTGACGTGAAGGTGCGAGTTATGGCTCCTTCACGTCTGAATGTATTTGTTACAATCCATACTGGGTTAAATCTACTTTTTTTTCACCTGAGACTTAATTGAACAAAAGAAAGACGAAATAATAAAACTGAATAAAGTATGATTTTGAAAATTGAAAGAATGTGAGCAATAATGTATACTGGTTGTATATTGCTCGCTATTATATTTGAGAACTGTTCAAGAGAAACATGAGCACTAACAATAGAAAATGTTATGAGAAAGATTAAGTTTAAAATAAATAAACAAAATATGTTTTCCTATTCTATTCAGCATCAGGAATCAAAAGTAAAAACCGGACAATTTAGATTAAAGATGGAGACAGAGCTGCAAAGTCTAGCATTCTGAAATTTGATTTGAAGAAACACAGGCATTGTAATATTTATCTGGAAAGTGGGGAGCTTGTCTCTTCCTAGTTTAGAATACCCCCAAAGTGTACATAGGAGACCAACCAGAAAAGAAAAAATCACAGTTCTCTAACACTGGGGCTACATTAAGTTTATAGAGTTGGATATGACCTTAACTCTAGAAACTGAACATCAGAATATGCTTTGCATTGTGAATCTGAAGGGCTCATTTTACGTCAGGGCCAACGTGGGTGTAACTCAATTGACCAAACTCTGCCTCTTATTGAAACTGCTGGTGCTCTACTTTTGCCTTCTTCGTATTATTGGCCTTAACTGCCATGTTTCACTTTGGCATCCACAAACATCATAGTTGTAGTTCTGTGCCAAAACAGATACAGATAACATGTTGGGTGTAAACAATATAACAGAGGGTTCCACAGTCCTCATGCCATCAGGACTCAACAGCATGGTGCTGGTAAACATCAGCTGAACAGTCACAAAAACTGGGAACAAAAAGTGACGGAATTTCAATCACTACCTTTTAAACTGTGAAAAGATTCTCCAAATGCAAAGTTAATTCTGACAGCAATTACCAGTACTTCTGCCAAGGAAAAGGTTAGGCCGAACAAAATCTATTTTTACCTGACAATCTCTTCAGGGTAACAGTTGTTAATGGCGTTGATATATTCCTGCATAACTGAACCTGGTTCAGCTTTAATTTCTTGAAGTTTCTTCAGGCCACCACTAGTGACAAAAAGACGCCGGGATTTGGTATCATGTGGTAGGACCTAGGAAAGAAAATACAAATGTTCAAATATCAAGACTTTACCCAAGCCATCAGAGATAAATGGAATATTGTGCATTGCCACAAGTCAGATTTTATTCTGTACATTTAAAAGCAGCTGTGCTTCTGCTTCTGAAAACATGTCTGTTCAAAAGAATTATAGAACATGAACATTTATGTCATAGTACTACTAGTAATAAGTAATATCTTGATTCTTCTTTCAAATCATATTTCTACTAACTAGTTGACCTTTTTTTTACTGAATGTTTTCTAAGGACCTTGGTTTGCTATTAGTTTGTTAACAATAGGGTTATGGATCTCAAGTATTTAGCACAGCACAGTGCATTTGTGATCCCTTAAAAAAAACAACGAGCTCCTGATTCCTGTAATATTGCTGTGTGGAAGTATTGAGTCGAGGATGACAACAACAACAAATTACATTTGAAAAGCCCCTTTCACGTCGGGAGAACGTCCCAAGGCGTTGGACAGTCAGGGATTTGGACCCGAGCAGGGGGTTGTGATCAGGAAGGGTGGAGGGCAGGGAGGGTGGGGTAGTAGGGTGACCGAAGACACGGTAGGAGGGTCTTGAGATGTGCCTTGAAGGAAGCAAGGGAGGGAGCGAGGCGAAGGGACTGTGGGATGGAGTTCCAAACAGTGGGAGCATAGAAGCTGAAGGCCGGACTGCCGATGGTGGTGTGGACCGGGCAGGGGACATGGAGCAGGCCGGAGCCTGCTGAGCAGAAAAGGCAGACAGGAGGGGAGGAGAGAACAGCAACTTGTCACAGAGAAACTGGAGGGAGAGGGTTGTTATCCCGGTGGTCAGTTTCAGAATAGCTTTGAGAGAAAACTGGAAGCAAATGGTCCACCAAACCTCTCAGTCATGAATTTATTTTTAGTGATGGATAGTATATAGAGACTAAATTAGGAAAGGAAGAAAATAAAATAGAAAGCGATTGCTATCCTGAATGGAAAAAAATATAACTTTAGAATTAAGTTATCTAACTTTAAGTTCATTTATACAAAATAAATTACATGGAACTTTTCTCCCAGTTATTCTGATTTATATTTCCCTCTAATCCAAATTTACACCCAAATTCATATAATTGACTGCTCATCTCATTGTTTAGGAAATGTTGCTGGCACAGATTAGCTGACAAATTTACCAAAATAACAACAATCTAATCAATTATATTTTGTGAAGCCCCTCCGATTCACCATTAGAATATAAGGATCATCACAGATCCAACCACCTTAAACATTTTGGGGAAGATGAATACAGTAAAATGTTGATGTGTTTCATGAACTACTTCAAAAATTCTTATAATCTAGTTATTTCAATGTCAGGATTGTGTAATCATCAGCAATGATTTCACAAATCAGTGTAGTAAATTCTCTTGCACATTTCTTTGATATCAGAAGGATCAAAAGGAATACTTAACCAATCTTAGTTTGTAGTTTTCTTTTTATAATAACTGTAGTGTGGTCCCAAACAAAAATTAGCCAATTGAAAATATATTATTAATTTCTTTATCAATTAAAACACCTGCCAGAATTGATGACTCAATTTAATTAACCTAACGACTGTACATCTCTTTGTATGTGACAAAGTTACCACAGTGCAGGATTGTACATTTTATGCTTTTAAAAACTCTATAGTTCCTTGACTACAAATGTTATCATACTTTTACTATTTTTTTTGGTCAGCTGGGTGTCTTGACACATGCGGAAACCCATCACCGTGCTTAAGAGTATCCAAACCAAGCTGAAAATTCCATGCATCCCACCTATACACAGAAATTTATAGCTTGCCATCGGTAGCACTGTCTGTTAAGCTTTCCTGCTGCTTGTCTAGCAATGACCACCTTACCCGTTAGGGCTTTGGCTTGCAGGGTTAATAGGAAGTTATTGGGATAATTCCCGGCCTCCAGTAACTGGTCTGCCCTTCCAAGTCCTATTGATGAGCAGACTGGCCGTGCTGTCATCAGTAGTGTCCTGAAATACTACGGGATGCCCCTGGCTCAGGAACTGGAATACAGAGGCCACATAGGGCTGGTTCGATTCCGATAATTTGTTGCCAAACATCTCACCTTGGAGCCAGTTCATCTCACGTTGGAGCCTTATGGCGTACCTACCCTCTAAGGAGGATAGTCATTGGATGGTTATTTGACATCCGACCAACGCAGATTGGAACCCTTACTAAGTGGGTTGTAGGTATCGGGAACTCCCTGCGAGCTTCCTGGTGGGCAACATATCTCAGCATGAAATACGTGGGAGCATTGCCATCTTGTTGTCCTCAGCTCGGGCACACATCCCTTCCCAATGAGCAATATTCCGCCAATTGGAGGTGTGGAGTTTAAGCAACAGTTGCTCACATTTCTGCAAGCCAATCACGTTCAACATAATAACTATAATGTGTTAAGTATTCTAAGATCAAAAACACAAGGAAGAATTCTATTCCCATGTTTGGTCCTTAGGGCATTTCATCTTTGATTTAAATAACAACCATTTGTATTTATATAGCCCCCCTCACACAGGGTAGCATCCCAGAGAGCTTGACAGTAGCAGAGCATGACTCCAAATCAGGGGAGGGGGAGGTGGGCACAGTTGAAGGGGAAAGTTTTCAGGCTCGACCTGAAGATGGGGAAGGAAGGCAGAGGGATAGAGGAAGAGCGTTCCAGTTGCACAGGGGAAGTGGTTGAAAGCGCAGTGGTGGAACGGAAGGCACGAGAGACATGAAGGAGGCCAGAGCCAGTCCAGCGGAGGCAGTGGGTTGGAGGCAAAGCAGGTCAGAGAGGTAGGGAGGTTTCAGGGCGTGAAGGGATTTGAAAAACAAGTGTGAGGATCCTGAAATTGTTTGGCGATAGGGAGCCAGTGGAGCCTGGCTAGAACTGGTGTGATGGGAGTATGGAGTTTAGTGTGGGTAAGTATACAGGCGGTGGTTTTGGATTAGCTGGATGCTGTGCACGGTGGAGCTGGGGACACAAGCGAAGAGGCCATTTGAGAAGTCGAGTCGTGAGGTGATGGACGCATGGAGAAGTTTTTCAGCTGTGTCTGTGGTAAGGCACGGTTGGAAACGGGTAATTTGGCATTGGTGAAGGAAGGCGGTCCTGATCAGGAACCAAATGTAGGGAACAAAGGACAGCTGTGGGTCGAACCTGATGGTGGGTTACACACTAGTTCGGTACGTCTGAGGGGTAGGCCAGGAAGACTGAAGAGGTCAGAGGCGCAGGAAAGAAGATGTTGACGGGAGCCAATGAGTATGGCTCCTGTCAACGTATGGCTTCTGACGTGTCAACATTTAGGTGTAGGAAGTTCACTTATCCAAGCCCCGATGATCGCAAGACAAGCCGAGCGAACATCGGTGGATCTGGAGTTGCAGCTGGAGTAGAAGAAGTAGATTTGTGTGTCATCTACATCCGATTTCAACTATGTACAGACACACTGATTTACTATTTTCTCCTCTACCCCATACAGGCCTGCCTTTAAACTACCAACTGGGCTCCTAATACAAGATTGACAAATGCGATCGCAAAGATTAGAACAAATTCCACAAACAGGTGTTTAAAGCAATGCAGCTTATATGGTTGAGTGGATAGCTAATGCAGGTAATGAGTATTTTTATAAATAGCTGAAAAATCCACTTGCCAACTAACCAAAGGGGAATTGTTTCCTGATTTGTTGATCTGGAAAATTAACAACTTTCAAGTAATGCTGGTATCTTTCCAATTCGGAATTTTTTTTACTTTTTGGTCATATCACTTGTTAGTTGTAGGGGCTCTTTTTTCTGTATCACTCACAAGATCCTCAAGTACACTGAATGTATATTTTAATCAATTTGCACATTTATTTTCTCAGCAATTATTTGGGGTAAATGAAAAATTGCCTGAGGTGAAGAAAAGCACTTTGTAAAAATACCCGAGGCACTGAGAATGAACAGCTTTTAAAAATAATGTCAACAGTGTGCAGATGCCAAAAATGTTGCCCTGTGCTGTCCTAGCAGGAGGCATTCTTGAAGACTGTGGAAAGAGTTCTCTCCCTGCCAGTATTTCCTTCCTCACCAATAGAGAGAAACTCACCACCTAAACGCAAGATGACATTGGTCTGCATCTTTCAGTTGAACCTAATGCTGTAGTTATTGGTTGTCACAGAATTACAATAACACAGAAATGTTCCTATGGCAGGAATTTTTAGGCCTTGTGGGCTATTGTGTCACTACTAGATGTATTTTTAAATCATCCTTTTTTATTATTAATCCCATTTTACAGCTCTTTCTTCATAACCCTTAATGATCTCATCATCCACCTAAGATCCTCCTAAGCCCAAACTCCGCCGCCCACATCCTCAACTGCACCAAACTCCGCAAGACCATCACCCTAATCCTCACAGGCTCCACTGACTCCATGGCTCTGAACTGATCGACTTCAAAATCCTCGGCCTCATATACAAATTCATTTCTGCCCTAGCACCTCCCTATTTCTCTGATCTCCTCAGGTCCTAGTCCTCTGCCTTCAGCTAATACAGAACTGCTGCGAGTCCCCCCATCCACACCACAATTAGTGACCGAACCATTATACCCCAACCTGACTCTGTCCCTCCATCTCGCCCACTCCTTACCTATTTTCAAATCTTGCCTTAAAAATCTACCTCTTCAACCGTGTTTATGGTCACCTCCACCACCCCGTCCCCTTCCTCCTTGCTTGGCATTCAGCCTTGCCACTGTGAAGTTTCAAGCTCACATTTAACTGGAAAAGGTTCTGGAAGCAACTACTTGTATGAAAGTGGGCATAGTTCCTGATTCCAATAGTTTTCCAACAGCCTTTCAGAAGAACTGCATTCTTGATATTGTCCCTTTTCCACTAGATGTAGTTGCTTTTGTTGTAGCATTTAGTTATTAATTAACCTACAATACTGAGGTATTCTGACTCTTAAGAGTCAAAAAAATAATGAACCGAATCTACATTTTTGGACTGGCTCATATGTGGTGCGGAGAATTGGACATGACAA